GAGGGGACCATGGGAGGACCCCTGCCAGGCCCCATCCCCCCCACACTCCCCCAGACCCACCCCATGGCTGCCCTGCCCACCCCAGCTCCTAGTGCTTTAAAAAAAAAACCTTACTCACCAGATGCTGCCAGGCAGGAGGTGATCCCTGCTGCCGCCCACTGCCCCATGCTACATGGGGGGCTCTGCACAACCCCCCGGCCCTCCCTTGCTCCCCCAGTCCCCCCGCCATGGCTGCTCCACCCGCCCCAGATCCAGCCCTTTAAGAAAAAAATAACTGAGAAAAACCCCGGGACACACCAGCTCCTGTAGTGGCCTTGGAGGGCTCATGCAAGAGCCTCCCACATGGTGGGCAGGAATCGTAAGTGCAGGGGTTTTTTTCATTTTTTTTTTTCCCTTAAAGGGCAGGAGCTGAGGCAGGCAGGGCAGCCCTGGGGCGGCGGGGGGGAGGGGGCTTGTGTAAAGCCCCCCATGCAGTGGGGGGCAGTGGGGATTGCCCCCCACCCAGCAGCACCCGCTGAGTCGGGGCTTTTTTCCCCCCGAGTGCTGGGAGCTGAGGTGGGTGGGGCAGCCATTGCCCGGCTGGGAGAGGGGCGGGGGATGGGCCTGACAGTGAATCGATTCGGGACAGTGATTCGAATCACCAAATCGAATCGCTGTCCCCTGAATTGGCTGAATCCAAAGCAGATAATAGGCACTTTGCACCGGCCTAGTATGCTGCCAGGACAGGACCTCTTTGGGGACCGGGGTGATTCAAGCGCCCCTCCTAACCTGGTGCTGAGGATGGGTGCCCTTTTCACCCATCTCATAGTTAAGTTACTGCTGTTACCCAGCAGTGGCATGGGCTCAGTTCTGAGTTACCTGGTCCCAGAGCAGCTTCTCACCCTTTGGCTCTGGTGCAAGTGAGGTAGAGCCCCCCTGCTTCCCATCACTGAAATCCCACCAAAGTCCCCCCTGCTCCATGGGTCAGATCTAGTGGCTTTCTGTGCCACATCTGGCCCACAGGCTATATATTGCTGATCCATGGTTTATCCTGTGGATCTCCTGACATGTCTGTCTTTCACAGCTATTGACATGCACACAAAAAGGATCCACTTTTTAAATCTGCATTTCTTTCTCTTTTGCTAACATCACAGAAACAAGGACCAACAAACCTTCTTCTGCACCATATCGTTCAAGACGTAAAACAGGTAACCCAAATGTGTGGGGAGCAGAGGGTATAATGTTTTTTATCAGGGTCTGGTAACAAAAACTGTTTTCACGTAACATTGTAGAATGCTTAGGATTAGACACGATGCTTTAATTGTTATGTTTTTATGGTCACTGAATGAATTATCTCCAGCCCCCAGTCCTTAAAAGCCATTAATCTGGCATACTATTGTGGAAGGCTCTCATGGGTTCTATACCTTAAAGTCAAAGCTTTGCACTCCAAATAGTTCAAATACTCTTCATCTTAATTTACATAAGTAACATTACTAATCAGTAACACCAGGGACTTAAGGAGTCAGTGCTGTAACTTTGCCACAGTTTGTTCTTATAAAGGTCCTGTCTCAGTCAAGTATTGCCTTGTTAAACAGGAACAGCTAAGTGTGGGTCAAGCCGAACAGACTGAGATCTGGACATGTACACTTCAAAACAACACTTTACAAGATGAACGTCTTGGACAGCCCCCTGTGTGATTGCGGTGTCCAACAAACTGCACAGCCCTTAATCAAAAGCTGCAATCTTTACAAATGCCCAGACTGGGCAGATGGACTCCACACATTGATCGACAATACCAGACGGTGGCTCAGAGATTTTGAAGTTGATATCTGATGAGAAAGAGAGCTAGATAGATAGTTCAACAGGATGCAGCACTCTTTCTATATGCTGCATGAGAACAGAAGGTGGCAGTGAATGATTACTGTATATAGAGCATTGCTGGGCTAGGAATCATCAGCAACCATGTTGTTTAGCTGTAGAGTTGATCTATTTCAAACTATCACTGTTATCTGTTGTAACTCACAGCATTGCAAATGCAGGAAGGAGTGATGCTGTTCTTTTGGCATCTTCTCTTAAGTAAATATCTGGATCTAATTCATTTGACTCTACCTTCTTAGTATATGAATCTTGGAATAAAATGAAATGGGAAGTTTGGCTGTTCACATGATTTTCCTGTCGTAAATTGCTGTCAAACATGGTATTAACTTCTGGTCATAGGTGGTTTTGGTACCTATGTTAATGATGATTCCGTGAATTTATTCAGGATACCATGGCTTCCATGACAAACATCAGCTATTCCAGCTGGGTTCAAAGACTGCCTATATTGATGACATGCTCTAGGTCTATATGCAGTGAGACTGGAGGAAGTACTTTTGTCATGGTCCAGTCATCTGAGTTAAGAACTCTTGTCTGTTCTCACTCTTGCTGAAATAATGGACTTGTTTATATCGTTCTTTTGAAACAGTTGGCCCCCTGTGCTCCACAACACAGTGTTCATCCACTCAGCTGTTTTGTTGATAGTCCAGTGGAATGTGATGATGTTCTTTCTGTGCCTATTGCCACCAGTGTCTCTGTCTCAGAGGATACCAAGTACACAGATGATTCATGATAGGAGAGAATACTGGAGTGCTAGTGTTTGCCATTGTAATCTTTTGCATCAGAGAATGTTTTCATTCCTGTGCCATGACAATAGCTGAAGTCATGGGAAATTTTCTTCTTGAGCATAGAATCTGATAAATCCCCACTAGTGTTTTGAGTTTTAGGTAGCTTGATAAATTTGGATTCTCTGAGTCTAGTAATGAAACCTGGTGTTTTACAGGGAGAGAGACTGGCAATTTAATTAATGAAAGATCAGTCAGATTTGAGCCTTATTGACCACTCAATAGGATCAGTGTCTGAGCAGGAGGGAGTCAAAATACAGGGTTAGTTTTTTTGATGCAAGCCAGAACTAGACTGAGGCATACCGTGCTAATAATGCTATTAAATCTTAGCTCCCAAACTCGGAGAAATATAGCTGTGTTGGTGAGTCTCATTAGCCTGGGTGCAGAATCACAGTATCAAAGTAATACTGCTCTTAGTTTGGGAATTAATGCATATGCAATATTGCTTCTATTGGCAGTTATTGCTTATTGTGTCTGAGCACAGCATTGCCATATAGACAGACATACTTACAGTCTGTACTGTTTAATACCCACTGGTATCATTTACTAGTACTGTATTTTGATTGTGCTTGCAGACTTCCACTCAGTCACCCAGTCCCGTTGACCCAAGTATTCCTGGCTGATCAAAGCCAGTGAAAAGACACGAAGCACATTTTTGAAAAGCATTGCTAACCTCTGCCTTCTCGGAAGATCAACTGACAGCTAAATTGAAAAGGGTCAGGATCAAAAACATCATCTTCAGATGTCACAAGCCAAACACTGACTAAAATCTCTCATTTTTAGGAAATATCTTATTGATCTTTATCAGTCTCTCTTGGAACCTAGGAATACCATCAAGATTGTATTGGTAGTATGTGCAGTTCCACATGGTTTTATTGTATCATTCTCTCTCTGTGGAGCAGTTGAGTAAATTTGTGAGGTACATCAGGCTTCAGTGTCCTCATTATGCCAATAATATTCATATCTATGCCTCCTTTTCACTGGTCGTATATTTGTTGCTCATGCTAGTCCTTCACAGTCTAATAGAAACATAGGTAATGATGAAGATGTGTTGAGGTTCAACTCTAGTATGATGGAAAGGGATGCTGTGTGGCAAAGAAGCATGTACAAAAAGATGGACACAATGCATACCTAACTGTCAACACACCACATGGAAGTCTCAGTCCTTCTAGCTTCATGCATTATTCTTGAATTCCTAGATGACCTCAGTGGCTTTTCTCTGCTGCAGGTTGTAATATTTTTTACTTAGGATTAGCCTTGAAGTCTGTCAAGAATCTTCATCTAGAAAAACATAGTTTATGGTGTAGGCCAATGCAACTGCATAGCACTGGTGTTCAAGTCTATCCGTTAGCTCTTGTTCGTTTTCAGTTCAGGTTATTTCTGATTATTTTTAAGTCCCGAGAGTCTGACTTTTGCTCTTTACCTTGCCGTGACTGTTAGGATAATCTAGGTAGCGCTGGCATCACAACAGAAGTGTTTGGACATTCAGATGCTCCAACTAAAGGAAAATGTACCTGCTACCTTCCTCAACAAGCCAGGAATAATGCATGTGCAGGAAAACAATTAGAACATAATGGCTGCTCCAAATGTGTGTGTCCATACCCTTTCATAACTCACTTCAGGCTGGCTAGCATGCAGGTTGCTGTACTATATAAAGTGCCATTCTAAATATTTTAAGTATTTTTGTTACAGAACACCCTTTCCTTGGACTATAAGATATCACTGATTGATATTGGGCTAGTTATAGAGTACCTGATTGGTGGAGCTTACCGGAGCAGCTATACAAGGAAACATTTCAGAGTTCTATACAACAGCCTCTACAGAAAATGCAAGGTAACATCTATAAAATAGTGATCTGTGACACTTAAGTGTAATACCCAGAAAATTGCTTGAACAATAATCAAAATCATAATGCATTTACATATGTTCATAATATATTCAAATATGACTGCTCTGAACAATATCTGGCAAAATGGCACACACATTTTGTGTTTTTCAGTTATTGCAGCATCAGCTATGATAAGTTTACAAGTAAAAGCCTAAGGTGCCTATAGATGTGCCTGGAGGCTGCTCCAGTACGCTGCAATTACAGTGCTTTGGAGCAGACTTGATTAATCGAGTCTGCTGAAGCATGCTAAATAGCACATTCCAGCCAGCATCCGTGTCTCATGTATCAGTGTCCCCGTGCTTCAAAATGGCACTGGGGGCGCTTTAACTAAAGCTCGTTCAACCAGCTTTAGTTAAAGCACCCCCACCACCATTTTGAAGCACTGGGATGCTGATAAACAAGATGTTGTGGGCACTTTAATTACAGCAGCTCTTGGAGCTGCTGTAATTAAAGGCCCCCCTCCCCTCACCTCTGGAACACATGTAAAAATGCCCCTAGTTTTTAAATGAACAAACTTGTGCTGGCCTCTGGGAGCCAAGCTGGGCTCTTTTTTAATTTGTTATCATGAGCCGTAAAGGGTTTGTAAGCCACGTCAGCCTCTGTTTACACTCGTGCAATCATATTGTCTTCCCATTATGCCCACACAATCACAGAAAATAGACCTGGAAAAACATCAAGAGGGAAGCTAATTCATTTCCCTGGGCCCAAGATCAGCTATGCCTGAGACATTCCTGTTGCACATTTGTCTAACCTGTTCAGTGTTTTAAGGTCCTGGAAAGCTTTGATTGCTGAATTCAGAGTCCAGACTGCTAACTGTTATGCCATGAAACCTGCTTGCTGTAAAGTACAATTACCACAGGGGGTAATATTTTTCTATACTTCATTTTCAAAATATAACTGCACTTTAATTAGGGTATTTCTGGAAGCCAAAAAAGAAAGTATATTGCTGTCAGAACTGATAGAATACCTTACACTCATCAGAGAGAAAAATATGCAACACAATTTGGGGTTGTTGCAAAAACAGAGAGAGCTACCAGGTTTTTGGGTTTTTTGTTTGTTTTTTTGAACTGAGATAAGCTGTTTAGCCAAAAGTATATAAAAAAAATGATGGTTGACTTTCTGAACACAAGATATCAATTTTATACTCTCTCTGGTATGATTTAATCATCTCTCTCATATTTAACAATGTTGGGGAATGTCAGTTCTTCAAATACCAAGGTGCTGCAGGAAATGATTAAAAAGATCCAGCAGGTCATCATGTATCTTCTGAGTCAATATTGAAAAAAAAACCCTGAAGATCCTAGCCATACTGTCTTCCAGAAGTATAAACAAAAGATCTTGATGACTTGTATAGCTAAGTATCTTATAGGCCTTTTTATGAAACTTAAGTTTTATAAGGATCACTTAAATATTTTGAACAAATTCTGACTTGGATCATTACATTTTGAGTGTACAGTTCTCCTAATAGATTTGATTTTAGTACTCTTCATGAATTTCTCAAATTGTTATTGTGTTCCTGAATATACTAAAGATGCCCTGCTTCACTCTAACTGTAGCTGGACCAGTGAAGAATGCAGTCATTATTTCTCTTTATACAGCACTTGCTCATCCCTAATTAAAAGAGCTATTTTCATGGAGCCCTCATGGAAGACTAGATCCCTATGTTTTCCTTACATGTACAAAAGAATCTACATTTTTATTATAGCTAGAAAATTAGGGGGGGTGTGATATTTGTCCTTTAGAGTAAAATAGTTTTAGAGTTAGGTAGGAAGTAGGACTTTTTCATTTGACAGAGTAAACAGAAGGAACTCTGCTGTAATTATAAAGATAACCAGTAAACTGCTGGTCTCAAAGACAGCATTTCCCACCAGTGCTGCTAAAATCAGAGATAAAATGAGAGCAAACTTCATCCCTAATTTTCATGTTCTCTTTTTGTGTTTTATGGCCTATCTTTGGAACTAGCGAGTGGTCCCCAGCTTTTCTCAAGGCTTTTCTCATCATTCCCTTCATCAGACTAATCAGATGGGTAGCACAGTTGGATCTGCTGAAAACACTTTGCATTCCCAGTTCATCCGAACAGCACAGCCTTACAAATGCAAGGTACTATAATTACTTTCTGACCTTGGGAATTTTGTTAGGGATATACCCAACTGAAAAATCAGTTTAAGAGGTTTATTATAGATATGAGATGCATATTACCATGGAATAACTACCTAAATGCCTGAGAGGAGAAGGATGAGCTCAAGAAGCACAATTATTTCTATTTTACAATACTGAGTTAAAATTAAACTCATTAACCTTCACAACCTTTTTGATTCAGGCTTTTATCCTCTGAAATGTAACAGTGTCAAGATTCTCTAATATACCACTCAGGTAAAGACCCTCTTATTTAGACGCAAAGATAAGATTCAGTGGCATCCCTTACTTTACTGTTTCACATCAAAAATAAAATTTTATCTGTGTGTAAATAAAATTCTTCAGAAGTCACCTGGTGTTGTCAATTTCACAACAACAGCAAAATATTTTCCCTTGAAATTGGCTCTACTAGGTACTATAACAAAATGAATTCTATTCTTTTCTCAGACAGAACAGCATGAAATGAGAGTATTTTCATTAACATCACTGAAGTGACTCAAGATTAGATTGTGAATCTGTTACACTGATGAGCAGTTAATCATCTGAGGTTGTAGGCAGACAAAATTCTATATCTTTAACAGGGTGTGGGTGGACTTACTGCTATGAGTGTGCATTGGCTGATCTGTTGTAACTGTTTGCCTGTCTGCTCCTATTTTACAGTAAATGAATCTTATAAATAATTTATCCCTGAATGAAACAGATGGTAGTTTAGTTTGTATTTACCAAAGAACAGAGTGGACAGACAGGAGAGTTGCAATAGATTTAGATAAACTACAATAAATCCAGATCTTGAGTAGTTTTATGGAAGCCAACATGACTTTTACCCCACCTTTAGTAGGAAAAGGTCCAAACACAGACTCGCAGTATAACAATCTTATACTATAATAAAAATCAACACAATTGTCACAAATTTGTTAGGGGTAATTCACAGTACTGGTCACTTTTCCTTTATTAGTGGTACAAACACACCACAATAAATAAATCAGTGTTGTGAAATCTGAAGGAGTGGTTAAGCAGGATAAGGCACAGTTTCAGAGGGTTGTTCAAGAGCCTTTTAAAATCAAATGTAAATCTCTTATTAACTTTTTCCATTGATTCAAGCAACTGCCCAAGATTCACATTTTAAATGTTCATTAATCTTCAGAAATCAATCTGTAGATATTGATCACTGACAGGACCAGGGTATATTGAAGTTTATCTGTATGTATTTTATATATGTAGCATTTATTTAAGTTATTGCATCTCACTCAGACTTTTGTGTACTAATTTGCAGGAAAAGTCAACTGCTTTTCGAAAGTCTAAAAAGAAGTCAAAAGATGAACTCAGCCTTTCAGAGGATCATGACTCTGCTGGCTTTATTTACCCCTATAATGATCTTTTGGTTTGGGCAGTGTTAATGAGAAGGCAGAAGATGGCAATGTTCTTCTGGCAGCATGGAGAAGAGGCCATGGTCAAGGCTGTTGTGGCTTGCAAACTCTACAGGGCAATGGCACACGAAGCTAAGGAGAGCAATATGGTGGATGACACCTCAGAAGAACTGAAGAAGTACTCAAAGTATGAGTTCTCTCTTCACTTCAGTTAATAAAGATCTACAATGCTTAGAATGGTTAGACATTTTTCTCTCCATCAGCCAAAGCTTTTAAGATCAGTGATTCCATATGCTGTGAAATGTACAAGAACTTTTTTTTTTCTGTCTTTCCAGCTTAATATCTGAAGGTGTTGCTTTAAAGGATTAATGTTAGCATACTAGCTAACAAACTTATCTGAAAAGTATAAAATAAACAAGGAGCTTTTACTCAACCAGCTTAGTACAGGAAAAGGGTCATGTACCTTTGTCTATAGTGGACGTACCAAATGTTTTAGCATGAATTAGTGAGTCCATGTTAACATTATGCTTTAACTCCTAGTTTGTGTAAGGAGAAATGTGTTGATGTATCTGAACCAATCAAAGTGATCACACGGGCTGAACAGATTAAGCAGTCTTTCTGTGTCTTCCAAGTTTTAATTTTAGATTTAGTCTTTGACCACCTCTTTGTTAATAATGACTGAGCAACTAAGGTGGAGCAGATTGGGAGCTCAAGGGCAAATTGCCATTTTCATGTAGACTGCCATCTCTATAAAGGTCTATTCAAAGTGAGATTTTTCTTATCCCATTGAGAGACGCTTAGGGCTATAATGAGTTTAAAATGCTTATGCAGTTGCCTACAATTTCCACCTATAATGATGGCAAGTACATTATTAAAGTAAATAATGCTGAACAATATGAGATCTATTTGTAATCACATGGCAAAGTTAGGAGATAAGATTAGGAGGAGGTGTTGCATGAAAAATGAGATAAGTCATAGTTAATGCAATGTTATATCTGCCACATGTGGAAGGAGCTTTCCAATTAGATTAGTGCTAGATACATTGGAGCTATGACTTTGCACAGACCACTTCATATTCTAAAATTATTGCTGCTTCTTTTTTCTTCTGTGCTGCTACAGTGAATTCGGGCAACTTGCTTTAGACATACTAGATAATGCATTCAAACAAAATGAGCAGATGGCTATGAAGCTGCTGACCTATGAGCTGAAAAACTGGAGTAACTCAACTTGCCTAAAACTGGCTGTGTCAGTGGGGCTACGGCCCTTTGTGTCTCACACTTGCACACAGATGTTGCTGACTGACATGTGGATGGGTTGTCTAAAAATGCGGAAAAACTCATGGTTTAAGGTAAGCTCACTGATTTGTGCCCCGTTTAGTCTGTTCAAGCTGTTGAGTGAGAATATGCAGAGACAGCTTATGCTGAAGAATATGTTCTTTTTAGGCATCCTAGTCAAATGCAACCATGCAGAACCCATTGAAATCCATGCACATTGTACTGCTGCAGATAACCTTCTGAAAGGAGGGATATTACTGATTCTATTATTCTCCTCATAACAAGATATGGGGGACAAAATCAAAACATTAGCAAGTAATTCACAGCATCTGAGCTACCTGTAGGCTGAAAAAGGTGAAACTAAAACTTGCTGCCCAATTCTCAGAAAAATGAAAATTGAGAATAAAGACAAGGAATTGCTTCCAAAATTGAGAATAAAGACAAGGAGGGATCTCTTCTACATACTATAAAAGAGATTTACTGTATCTACTTTTTTCTCTAGGAATGATTGCTCCAACTCAAAACTAGCAATAATTTTACTGCTATTCAGAGACTAAAAACTGAGTCCCACAATATGAAAAATAACTTGTAAGATTGTGCAATAGTGCTGTTTGGTGGCTCTTACCATAACAAACCTCAGTGGAGTCAGTAAAAGTGCTCCAGATTTATACTGCAGGAGAGGCTGGCTCCATATGTATATACCACTTGTTCTGAATGAATGTCCTCAGCCTTGTGTTTCTTTTCCAGGTCATTCTAAGTATTCTTCTTCCTCCTACTATTTTGATGCTGGAGTTTAAAAGCAAAGCAGAAATGTCTCATGTGCCCCAGTCCCAGGACACATGGCATCTTGGTGATCAGAGCCTATCTAGCCCTAAAGATGCAATGTCTCTGGTTAGTAAGACGCTACCTATTACTTCCACAGAGTTGGGATAGCACAGTGTTTTTCTACTGCACGGATCTACACTAGTAGTTTTCTACTGAAAGCTTTTTTCTCTTAAAATGTTTCACCTCTTAGAAAACTGTGCGCCAGATTTTGCCATCCTTTCTCAGTATGAGCCATACTTTTCTTTGCAACTAGACCTCTTGAAATCAGTGAGGCTAGTTGCATGTAAGGAATCATGGACAGATCTGGAATTTTGAAAAGGGGGTCCAGATGGTGAGGTACATCATTACATATAAAACAACACATTTTTCTCCAGTTGAAAATAAACTGGAAGCCTAACTAATATGCTAGAGGCCTAGGGTTGTATTTTTCATTTTGATTGAAGCAAAAACAAATGTAACTTCATTGGAGAGAGTTAAAAACAATCTTCAAGGCTGTTAAATAGGAGCTGCCTTACCAAAAGCAGCTAACAGACAGCAGAATTGCATAACAAAGGATAACTTGATTGGTGGAACATCAAGACCATTCAAAAGAAGAGAAGGCACACTTTATAACCAAAATGTTTCTTAAAAGCTAGAAAGGACTCTCAGGTGTATATGGCTTTGCATTGGATATCAGGAGATGTGTGTTCAATTCCAAGTTCAGCCACACAATTCTTATGCCATGTCAGCAAGTTATTTAATCTATCCTGAGTATCACTTCCCCATCTGCAATACAGCCCTGCCTCAAAGGAAGGTCATGATGATAAAATAAACACACACATCCAATTATATATATATAACTCAATAACTATATATTGCACCCCTGTAATATGTTAAAAATATTGTTCAACTATTCAACTTGCAAATGCTCAATATTTCTGCAAACTAAACCCAGAATCTTAAACTGGGAACACAAAAAATGAAGAATGCAAGTGAGTCACCAGGTTGGCAAAATATGTGTGGAGTGGCTTGACCAGCTTCATATAAAAATCTTTTTGGCAAATTCAGGCATAACAGCCAATCCCCCAGGGCACAGTTCAGCTATCTGGTACTTCCATCCTGAAAACTCATTTTATCTTCCTGCAAGTCCTTGTTTCATTCAGGAAGAGTGTCATTCACAATACAGTCTCATTCACAACACAGCAAGTCTGTACTGTGGAGTGGCTGAGGCACTAAGTGTGTGGGGAAAAATGTTGTGAGATGATATCATTAAAAACTGTCATAATGCATGTACACAGAGAAATCAAAATAAGGATGTACAGACATGCATCATTCTCTCATTTCCTAACTTTTAAGAGTTTGACTTTGCAATCTTCATAATATTCTTCTCATGTATATTGTGTGTGTAATTCCAAGATTTTTTTTAATAACTGAAAAAACGGAAAATCCATCATGTTTTTTGTCATACAAATGTCCATATGTTTTATCTACAGAGTTGGATCTTAAGGTCTCCCACATAGATCTCTGCAGCTGGAGAGTAATAGAATAACTGTTAGCTGTAGTAAACTGTCAACTACAGTGTGCAACAACACCAGAGAGTGTTTGGGAGGTTGTTGAGTTTTTCAGATATTTGCTGACAGGTATAGAGCCGGTGAGACCTGGTAATCTTGGATGCCATTCCTGATTTTCTAGGGCAGTGTGCACTAGTGTACACAAGCTCTGTTCATTCTTTTGAAATCTTGACATTTTCTGTTTCAACACCATAATTCTCTTTTCCTCAGCCAAGCAGTGGCTGAAGGTATGTGTGGAATTAAGGGCCAGATAATCTTTCCTCTTGGAGACAGTAAAGGGGGCATGCAGCACTCTAAGGTGCCCAGACCGATATAAAGCAGTACTATTCCCCCTAATCAAGCACATAAGCTAATCAAATGTCATGTTAATATTTCATGTTCTTTAACTTTTTTGTGCATCCACACTCCAAAATTTCTTAGGACTGTTCTGTGGTATTTCATTATTATGGTATCTTAATGCCTCACAAATGAATAGCTTTATGATCACCACGCTTCTTAGTTTGGGAAGCAGTCTTGTCCCATTTTGCAAGTGACATGTTCAAGATCCCAGTCCAGTTTCTTAACCATTAAATCATCAATTTAAACCCAAAAGAAATTTAGGTATTTACAGTAAAGAGGTGTGCCTGCTTATTTCCCCCTCCCTTTTTTTCTGTTTGCTTGCAAATGCTCTAGTTATAATTGCATGTAACTCGGATATGCTAATTGTTTCTGAATATAGTATACAGCAGGCATGTCTACATGTGCCCCTATGGCACCGTTGTTATTGTGCCATCATTTAGTACTTCCTAACTGGTGGTGCATGGTTATTTTTAGCTGCTGCATTGCCATTGCAATGTGCTATAGTGAAGGAGTATGTTGTTACGGCAGCATAGCTGCGGCATCACAGTTTGTGCCTGCCAATGCTACGGTGACGTAGCGTCTTGTGTAGATGCGCCCAGCAAGTATTATAGATTCACTGTCCCAAATTTTCTTCTGTTATGAACCTTGTACACTGTGTTTTCTGGCTTTAAAATACTGTTTCTTTTTAAAGGAATATGATGCTGAAAAGGGGCCCGAGAAATTGGATGAAAGCCATACATTTACCACCAGCAGTGGGCAGGGAAACCTTCCTGGTACTAGAAAAGTCTATGAATTCTACAACGCTCCAATTGTCAAGTTCTGGTTTCACACGGTTGGTCATTGCAATAATACTTAGATATCCATGTTGCCTGAAACACCTATTAAACCCTATTAAACCTATTTAGACTGCATATACAGTAATTGATGGCATCTACCAGTTAAATGCATCCATTTTTGGGGTGGAATGTAAGATCTGCTTCCTCCTTTCATCCTAACAATAATTGTGTGCATATATTATCATTTTAAGCAGCTGCTATTAAAACAGGATTTCAAGCATGACAAAAAATTCTTAAATATGTATTTTTCAGGAGCCAGGCACATCTGTAGAAAAAAGATTTGAATATGACTTTACATAAATGAACTTACTATGTAAGCCCCCCCACCCCTATCTTTTATAAATTGTTTTTGAAGAGGCTTGTATTGATGCATATAAGATAATTTGGTGTGTGAACAGAAAAATGTGTTCTCTTAATCCATTTAGTAACTGGTCCCTAATCTTGTGCTATGGGAGCTTTATTTTTTGCTTCAGTGAGTATAGGATGAAGCTGCTTGTTGGGTAGAGACCATAGTGTACATGTAGATTTTCTTATTTAAGGAAGTCTGTCAGCCACTGTGAACAATATTTGTAATGGTCCAAATTGTTTATAATACTATTAAGCATCTTGAAAAAATAATAGTTGTTCTTCTAATTTCTATCTTTTGGCAAACATTAATATTTTTATGTTTCAAATGTAGCAGAAGCCAACTTGCTTTTCTTTGTGAACTCATTTATCTGTTCACTAGCTTTAGTGCTAATGTCAGTATCAATGTTCTTTGCTCTGGGAATAGTTAATACTACAGAACCAACAAGATGCACATACAACATTGTTTGATATTAGTGGGGCTCTGTAGAGTCAGAAGCATTTTTCATGCCCATTGAAAATCATAAGATTGAGGCCACATTTTTGAATGTGTGCTGCATTTACCTCAGAAGAATAATTTTAAAGCTCCTTTTGTTCAATATTTTGGAATAAAGTGGTGGGACGTTTAAAAATGTTGTTTAGGGTCTGGGGGACAATCCCTAAGAATGGGCACAATGGGGCTGAAGGACAATTTTTGTATTCTGATTCTTGATAGGATCTCATTAGTTTGACAACATTTGTTTCATTATAAAACACACTTATTGTAGTGTTCCATGCTCTTGTCGAAACTATTTATTCACAGGCAATGTGTGTTGTGTGTTTTGTAGATGGCGTATGTGGCTTTTCTCATGTTGTTCACTTACACTGTGCTAGTGAAAATGGAACCCAGGCCCAGCGTGCAAGAATGGCTTGTAATCATCTACATTTTTACCACTGCTGTTGAGAAAGTCAGGGAGGTAAGCTTTTCACAAGCTCTGTCTTACATCTATAAAGACTGAATTATAAATAGCAAATTCATAGTTTCTTTTTGTAAGGATTTACAAGGATTTATAAAACAAGGGTTTATAAAATGGACGCTTAATGTTTCCTTATATAGATACCTAAGCCAGTGGGAACTGACAGGTGTTCAGTATGCTTAAAATTAGGTGATTAATTTGGATTTATGAATCTAAATTTAGGCATAGATTGATATAGGTATCTGAATTCTACCTTGGGTCACTCCTTACACTGTGATAGTTATTGTAAAAAGATCTATTGCATATAAAATACATGAATAGTCGCCTTTAAGTCCCTTTGGACAAAAATCCACCTAATAATATTGTACAAGTTTTAGTGTCTTCAAATTAAAAAAAAACAACAATGGGGAAAGTACTGGGAATTAATTGTAGCCAATTAACTCTGATTCTCCAAACATGACTTGTACTCCAAAGCCAAAAATGAGCTAAGGAATAAAGCAGATAAAATTATTTTTCCAAATTATTTTGTGTGATCAGGAGAGAGAAGGCAAACCTGTATTCATTTGACTGCAATATTGGAAGTAATATAAGATATTTGAAATGCTTGATTTTTAGAAGTGGAGGGGGGTGCACTTTAAAAGCTCTGCTGGTTGGAATCTAATTCCATGTACTTAAAAGGGAATAAATAGAACAGTTCTCTCTCTCTCTCTCAACAGTGGGACTGTGGTAAAAGAGGGAATATAATGGATTTCAAATGGAGCAAGAATGTAGAGTAGGAAACATGGTTTGGAATGAATGTGGCTGGATAAGGGTTTAAATAATTAAAATACCCAGGAGGGTGATCTCATTAAAAGACATAAAGATAAGAAACATCAGGCACCTCAAGCGTCACAACTGTGGTTATTCATGTTGTTGTCAGCTTCTTGTTTTTGGACTCCATAGTAACCCAAAATCATGAAATTCCTGTCTTATGAGGGCTGGGGCTTTGTTGATTTAGTAATTCTGGTCCACTGGAAAGAATTTTGTAGGACACTGAGTCTTATACATGCCAGTAATTAAATGTTGAGGGTTTTGTTGTTATGTGCAATTGTGAAAAAAACATTTCTCTAGATTGTATCAAGTAATTGTTAAAGCCTTAGGTCCTGATTCTGCAAACACTTACTCAAGTGAGTAATCCCATTGACTGGAATGGAGCTACACAGTTATATATAGGTGCGTATATGTGTAAATTACGGGATCAGGGCCTAACACTTCAAAATCTTTCTGCTACTTGCTCTTTATCAGTTTGATCTTACAGAGCAATGTGTAATTGGCCTCAATCATGCAATGTATAAAGGTCTTATTTATGGCCTTTGAAAGATTCCACTTCACACATTTGCTTAGTGAGGCTGAAAATCCCTTTGGGGCACACTTACAGTTCAAGGATTTGAATGTTTCATTCTTTGCCTTGCCAGCTCCTTTTTTTAGGATCACCATGTCCTTGCTAAAATACAGGGATCATACTCCATCTTACTAGTTCAGTTGAAAGTAAGACATTTTAATTGTTTTCACCTCGGCAAGGTTGGGCTGATATTTTCCATGACTTTAGGGCTTTTGAAATGGTTACTGTAGGTCATGACCGCTTCCTCCTTCAAACGTTCTGTATCTGTTTTAAAAAGATACACATGCTTAACTCATAGAAAACTGCCTGCTTTTTTCTTTGGTGGAATGCATTCCTCAGCATTAAGGAGCAGAAATAATTTCTATGTAAAGGAAAGGAGCATGTTTGGGTGGGGAGAGAGATTTTTGAACAATATGACTGTGAGTTTCTGTAAACTCAGTAAATAGTATATTACAGAATGGTGACCTATACAACTGCCATCATGAGAACTTGCTGAAAACACGTATTTCCATGTGTCAGTTGATGGTTCAGACAGGATGGCAATATAATGAATTTTCCAGACTTTTGTTATTGTTTTCCTTTCTTGTCAGGTATTTATTTCAGAGCCAGGAAAGTTCAAACAAAAGGTGAAGGTGTGGATTTACGAATACTGGAACTTTACCGATTCGATAGCTATCATCCTGTTCATGACTGGTTTTGGCTTGCGCTGGGCTGATCCTCCTGTTCAGACTGCAGGAAGGCTAATTTACTGCTTGGATATCATATTCTGGTATACGCGGCTCCTTGACTTCTTTGCTGTGAATCAGCACGCGGGTCCATATTTAACAATGATTGGGAAAATGGTAAGTGCTTGACTCTGGGGCAATATTTTTTCCAGTTGTGATGTTAATGAGGGAAGATGAAAGTTCAGAAATGGATCTAAAACAAAATGATAGCAGACTAGAGCTGCGCTGATAATTCAGAAGTATTTTATCTGTAAATTTTGCCCCTCATTCTATTCATGAAATGACAATGTGATCAGATCAGAGTTTTCTCTAATTTATTCATTATTTGAATGTATTCACAAAAGCCATTTTCACTTGGTTCCTTAGAGAGAGACTGCATTTTAGTTGAGCTTTCTGATCCAGCTGGATAATAAGATGGAGGAAAAAAAACCAGTCTCTGGCTCTGGCAGACAGTGGCTTAGTATCATAGGTAATTCCCCTAGCTCTTCGAAACTGTCTCATTATTATTTTACATTTTGATTCAAATAATTATATCCCATTTTTAGCAGGAAAAATTTCCCTGAGATCAAAGTTAGATTTTTTTATGTCAGAGCTAAGGCTAAAATACTGTGTGGTCTTGAGGGAGGTCTGCAGATTCCCTCTGTAATTTCCTTCAGTTATTGGAAAGTGTCTTATTAATCCTTTACGTTTTGGCTCCTATATTAATTCTAGTGCAGTGTTAGAAGGTGAAATACTTTTCCATGGTGCTCTTTGAGACCTGTCAGAAAGACTTTATCAACTCAAATTCAGCCCTGAGTGGAGGGCCAGCATGAGGTCTATGCACCAAGTAGGACTTACTTTGGCTCTCTGTGCTGGGGGTAATTTCAAGTGTAGTGGATATTACTGGGCAATTGATTCATGGAAATGAAACTTCCCTCTTTCCAAGAGTAGCTGTTGTTACTGCTGACGTTCAGATTCCTGGATTTAAAAGCCGTGATATATATTCACTCTTATAATTAACACCACTCTTTTAATACAGATCTCTCTAATTAATTTTCCCATGCAGACAGCAAACATGTTCTATATAGTGATTATGATGGCCATAGTGTTGTTGAGCTTTGGGGTGGCACGAAAAGCGATCCTGTCTCCAAAGGAGTCTCCTTCTTGGACTCTGGCACGAGATATAGTGTTTCAGCCTTACTGGATGATGTTTGGTGAGGTCTATGCTGGAGAAATAGATGGTAGGTGATTTTGATGGGACTTCTGATATGCTTAAAGCTAAGTATGCATGGAAGTGCTTTGCTGGATTTCAGCTGTAGCTTGAGTCATTTATGAAGTCTGTGCTTCCTCAAAGGGTTTTGGTTCCAGTCTGAATTAGTGTTGTAGTGCAGGAACTGGAAGACCTGTATTTCCTTTAGGATCTTTGTTAAAAACTAACATCAGTTTTACAAACTTTTAACCTTGTGAATGAAAAATCACAAAGCCCAGGAAGAAGCATGTAAGAGCTTGGAAACAAGGTAGTATTAGTAAAGGAGATGAATCAGTGAAATTCAATTTCTACTGATTAAGCCAATGGGAATGCTGCAAAACTATCTTCTTTGAAAAAAACCTTTCTGCCATGACATGGGCACTGTCATTTATCCAGACAACTTCCCTTCAAAAAAGACTTAAGCCAATCAATGTATTGACAACAATACAAATAAGTGACTGTAGATAAATAAAATTAAAATGGAGTTTAAAATCTGATCAGAGACTAAATGGAGAAGAAACAGAAAGTCCATGAAATTCACTGGGGAATTCATTGTATCTATTGTTTTTTGTGGGGGTTATTTTTATTTTTATGGAAGGCACTTACATGCTACCAAGCAAAGGGCACAACCTCCCTTCTTCCCCAAGAGAGTTAGAAAAAAAATTCTACTTCAATATGGAATATAGCTCAGTATATCCTACAAACATGTAAGTATTCAAGGATGCTGCATTCATTCTTGCTGCTGATGCAGTTGCAAACTGACTTATTTCTCAAGGTCAGCTATGAGAGAACTTCTTCCAAGTCCATAGCAGTTCTAAGAACACTGCCAATTCATCTTTCACAATTCAGTTTATTTAATCTCTTATTGATGATAATCCTCACAAAATTTGAATTGAATATTTTGTTACCTAAAAAGACCTGCTATTCATGCAGTGGTTGTATACGCTGATTTATGATTGTGAAATTGTTCATGAATTTCAGGTTTCTTCAGAGATTATTTTTCAAAGAAAAACACAGGATTTGATTAAAAGACCCTGATACCAAAATGGCAAATGATAAGAAAAAAATCAGTCAATTTTGGGACTTCATGATACATTTAGTGTTTGTTCAATTTTAACTGTAACAAAATGCCTCACTGACTGGGTTTGCCTCATTGACACAATCAGATTATTATGTAAATGGTATTTAGGTTCAGTAGTGGTACAAAGAGATCTAAAATATTCCCTAAACAGAGGGCTAACTCCTCAGTTGGTGTTAATTAGTGTAACTCCTCTGAAATCATTGGGTCCAGCCAGCTTTACTAACTTAGCATCTGGCATTTCAGAATGAAAAGGAGGTAAAACATTAATAACCTTTTATTAATTTGTACTAATTTACATAAAATCTATGGTTTCCTTTTTTTACAGCTTGTGAATTAGATGAAGACTGTCCTCCAGGCTCGTTCCTCACACCATTCCTCCAGGCTGTGTACCTCTTTGTACAGTACATCATCATGGTCAACTTGCTGATTGCTTTCTTTAAGTAGGTACCTCTGGTATGTTGTTGCAGAGCCAAAAAGCCTATGAACAAACTGCCATTATTTCTAAAAGATGCTCCCATAAGAGTGCCTCTTTTTTGCCATGTGATAAACCTCAAATTCTGGGAGAGTATTTGTATGTGTCATTGTGGTGAGGGACACATGGGGCGTGTAGAGAGTCTGTTCATTGTTTTGCCATTAAAAAAAAAAACACAACCAAAAAACTAAAACCCTGTCTTACAACTAGAGAACCAGGCAGCACCACTTAGCAAACTCCTAATAACTCAAACAATGGGAAACATTTATTCTTTGGCTTTGGAAAGCTGTACTTAGGCTGTGGACAGGCATTACGTTTGTGCCCAAAGAAAAGCCTTTCTTCTGGGACAAAAAGAGAGCATACAGGCATTCAAGGGATTTCTTTTGGAAGAAAACTGGTTGTTCTGCAAGAAAGTTAGATTCCTATGAGGAAGATTGCCCTTCTCCAGCACTAACTTGAATGGCTAAGGAGGCCCAATGTCCCACAGTCCTCTGCTCTCTCTCCCTCCTTCCTCTTCCCTGTACTCCCATTGTAACCTGCCTGCCATCTGAGAATCCCAGGTAACCTGTCTGCATTTTTACCAGCTACATTCTTCTATCACCTTTCCTCCCACCTGTCTTGCACCTGCTGTTTTCCACCCCTCCTATCCTCACTGCCATATATTTGCATTTTCTCAGACCTGTATTTTGCATTTTGGCTTCTATTCTACACAGGAGAGCATACAGTTCACCAGCAGACTCTCTGTATGCCTGAAGAAGGGTGTTTGTGCCCAAAAGCTTACAAAGAACAATTTTCCCAACTATTTAGTTGGTTTAATAAAAGATATCACATCTACCCAAAGAACCTTCTCTGCCTTTGTCCTTAGACCAACATGGCTACAACCAACAACCCCTGTACTCCCTACATGCACCCCTTTGGCTTGGCCTGTAGGAATGCATGGAGTGGGGCTATTTTCCCATAGCAGAAACTGGGAGAGAACCAGGGAGTACTAGAGGCTTGCTTCTTGGGCCACCTCCACCCTAACAGGAGCCCACTAATTGGCAGCCTGTCCTCTCCACTGCCTGGGAAGTAGTTGACTGTCAAGAGGCAATTGGCAGCTGCTGAAAAACAGCAACTGCCACAGACAACCCTGGGAGGGTTCCCATCATGGGAGAATGGCTTACTGTCATCCCATCAATCAGTGTCAATCAGTGGGTGGCCCATGGAGCAGCCCTCTGGTGTCCTTGGCTGGAGTGCTCACCTGTGTAGCTTTCCAGGTAGGAGGGCTGCAGCACATGTGTGCTCCAACTCCGGGGATATTTTCCTTTCAGTAAGAATTTCAGAGACATTCTATGAAATTCTTACTGTTAGAAATGAACACCTGTCCATGGCTTAATATATTGATAGCATCGCATAATGTCATAGAAGGATTGCTCATATAGTGTTTTTTTTATTTCCTGTTATCAGTAATGTTTATTATGATATGAAAGCCATATCAAACAAGCTCTGGAAATACAACCGCTACCGTTACATCATGACATACCATGAAAAGCCATGGCTGCCTCCACCGTTCATCTTTCTGAGCCACATTGGCCTCCTTCTAAACTGCATCTTTCACCATCGGCCTCCAAATGAGCTGGATCAAGAGGAAGGTGATGTTGGACTAAGTGAGTAGACAGCTGATCTTCCTTGACTTACGCTGTGGCAAATAGGATGGTGGTTAGGAATGTTTTGCTAGGCTTTCCCCACTGTGTAGATAGCCAGGTTAGTTGAAAAGATATTTTCAGATTTTTTACTGTCCCACTTTATATATCTTCTAGGAAACTCGATTTTATATTGGGAAATGTTTTTTTCTGTATTTTAACTTTGTTTTATTGTATTTTATGCTAACTCTTCTTTGCTACTATTCACAGTGAGGACCCTTCACCTATTCTAAGTTTTCATTTGGATCCAAACATGTCTGAATTTTGCATCCTCTCTATCAACCCTAATCCTAATTTCAAGCAAGCTTTATGGAACTACTCTGGCTGGAATAATATTATCATTTCACAATATTGCATTGAATCAAAATGACAGCACAACTTAATATTGGGTTGCAAATGGCATGACTTTTTGGTGCCCTGATTCTCCGCCCCCCCACCCCCCTGAAACAAACAAACATGGGATTCTTAATTTTTTTAAAGTCCCTTGTAAGGTTTTCAGGAACTTTGTAATGTTCAACTGTACTACTTTAAAAATAAATGGATGTGTAACAGAATAGTAATTTTAATGTAAACTATCTTGTGCTTTTGCCAGGGAAAAACTACATAGTCATTTCTAAATGCTCCGGTTCACAAACCTTTGGACTGAGCATGTTTCCCTGATGTACTAATGTTCAGTTGATTCTTTTTATCTACCCAATGTCTCATTCATTTCTTCTTATTTTGTGGACTGTTCTCCATCTGGCAAACAGGATCTTCCACATTAGGTTGTAGGATAGTCTAGAGAATACAGACTGAAGACTCCTATGGCAGCAGCACATTTCCCTTTGTAATGTATTTGGGCAATTCATTTGATTCTCCCTACTTTTTGAGTTGATATGCTCATATATTTTGAAGGCAGAAGGCCCCATTATTGCGTTATTGTAATCCAGCGCAGGGGTGGCCCACTCACAGCATGTGCGATGCATGTGGCATAGGAAGCCTTTATATGTGGCATGGGCAGTTTCTGTGTGTGGCATGTGGCAGATTGGGAAAGGAGCAGGCAGCACAGTGTCAGATTGAGCAGAAAGCAGAGCAGCAGATTGGGAAGAGGAAGGGGAACTTGGGAGAATTTGCCAGGCTAATACCTGACTGGTAGGTTGGTCCCCACTGATCTAGTGTTATCTTCAAAATAACACATAGTAGCTTACCTCATAAGACAACACCAGGTGTTGAGAAGATAAATTCAGTGATGACTGGGAAATAATAAGCTTCTGCAGTGATGAAAAGAGTCATACAAGTATCTAAATCAACAAGGAATTTTCAAGAATTCATTGAAGTTGGACACTGTCCAGTAGTAGCCCATGAGTGATGCTTCACAGACTATAATTCCTCATCTGTGCACCTCACCTATTCTGTACAAGAGTGGAGAGTTTCATCTTGGTTGTTGTGGTAGATACATGACAGTTGATGATCCCTGTTCAAGAATGAATAAATAAACTGCTTGTAGTTTTAAAGGAGCCATGATATATAGGACCTTTCAAAAGCAGAGGCTTTTTGAGTGAATGGTGTAAGTAAAAAGAAGGCCCCTATATCCAGTTTTCTGGCCACACAAAATATTGTATTTCAGTTAGACATCAGTGTTGGTGTTAGCTTCCAGGTTATAGCATTCTGTAGTAATGGACAACTTCTCTGCTTTCTGTAATACATTCTGGGCACCTAAAAGAGGAGTTTCCCAAATGGATCACAGAGTGTTGTTAATTCTGGCCCTGCTATGATGAACTGGAGAGCTATCAATCAGGATTGTAATTTGATTACAGAATTCAAGTCCAGGCTTAGCAAATGAATGTGCAGCAGCTTTACTGTGTCCGTTCAGAATGCATCAATCTTCCTTTTGAAGTAGCACTGTTCTGACATATTTTTATCTTATAAGTGACTAAATCAGTTCACAGAGTGACTTATTTGTAAAGAAGAGCAAAATCAGAAAAATAGCTTCCCTAAGTTATTGATGAAAGAGGGCTCAGTCTGGGGTTTACACCCTTTTTTCTGAGATAATTATTTCATGTCTGTATGCACTATATATTGAAAACAACTTGCTAAATTTCTTTTTCATGAAACTGAATTTTCTTTAGTAATAGTTTTAGGTATGGGGAACCACTGCCATCCTGTGGACAATAGATGTAAACACCAAGGCATAGTGAATGGAACTGTCCAGGCAAGGCCAATAAGGTCACATATTGCTTAGAAATAGAAAAGACCAATTAGATTATCAAGTCCCTCTCACTGCATTAGAAGGCAGTAGTATTATTCCAGCAGTGTACCTGTATTTCAACAGGGGTGCTCAATTCCTGGCCTGTGGACCAGATTCAGCCCCTGGTGCCGGGTCAGCTGGCCTGCAGGCCTCTTGATGGGTCATAACATTTGGAGGCAGAGATTTAGGAATGCCAGTCATTCACCATTTCAGTTGTATTTAGGAGAGCTGCATTATCCAAGTTTCCCCTAAAGCAGAGATTTCAAAGCTTTGTACTTCACTGAGATATGAGCCCTTTCCTATTCTAGAAATATCAGCTATAATATATCAGTCTGAAGGACCTTGTGGAC